TGATGATTGTTGTTAGTTCAGAGTGGGCCTGTTGCTGTGGAATAATCGTCTTGTACACTGTAAAGATTTGTCACAATTTGGTTTAATAAAACACTGATTGGCTGGTAGCTGGGCAGGAAGTTAGGTGGGAAAGCAAAACAGAATGTTGGGAAGAGAAAAGGCAGAGTCAAGAAGTTGCCATCCAAACGCAAATGAAGCAAGATGAGAATGCCACATTGAGAAAGGGTACCAAGCCACGTGGCTAAACACAGATAAGAATTATGGGTTAATTTAAGTGTAAGAGTTAGCTAGTAACAAGCATGAGCTACCGGCCAAGCATTTATAAGTAATATTAAGCCTCTGAGTCAGTCAATTGAGAAATGGCTGCTGAATATTTGGGAACAGGCAGATGGGGGAGAAACTTCTGTCTACAGCTAGTGACAGAACAGTTTAAGGAATTGGGGGTGGGGGTGGTTTTAGGAGGGAGGTGAAGGTGGTGGGTGGTGCTGCTGGCTTATTTCCTACCCAAACACATACAACAGAGACTACAGGAAGCTTGACAGTTCTTCAGTAACCAGCCTTGGAGTCACACTAACATGTTAAGGCAGAGCTAGAGCTCTGGAACAAGAAGAGTCTTCTTGCCTTTTAAACTTCTTGTTACTGTCTTTTTCCATTACTGTTAGAGCCAACTTGAGTCCATTTCTGATACCTAAAGCAGAAAGTAATTTACTGGTAAAGTCAGGTGTGTAAAGCAATCATCTGCTACTCCAAGGTGCTCCTAATACACAAAACTACCATCTGTTTGGCTTTCCTCCTCATACTGCTGAACCATTTAAGCAGCATTTATGATATGAAGTCTTTTACACATGAACTGACTAAAGATCATTTTTGAATGAGATTAATGGCACCAGTTGCCCGAATTTCAATCTCACCACTGCTTATAGAATGATTTTAGTTTACACTAGTCTATGTTGTAGATACACTGTGGAGAAAAAGGAAAAATACAAAATGCTTAGTGATCTACTCTCCAAAGTTTGTTTTTAAAAAAGGGTACAGAGGTCAGACAAAGATATATTTGAACTATAGACTAAAGAACAAAAACCCATATACCAGTGAGTCTTTTGATAATACAAAGGTTAATCAATCTGTATGAAAATTAGCAGGGGTCGGTGCACTAGAATATCACATCTCAAAAACCGCCTGGTAGGTTCAAGAAAAAAAAATTAGGTAGTACATAGGGTAAAAGAGTTTCCTAAAATAGGAATGGTACTTTTAGAAGCTAGAAATCCATACAGGTTCTTGCTTTATCATTCATGATAAAAATTATTTTGAAAAAAAAGAAAAAAGAATCAGATTTGAAGATTCTACTTTTGTCCCCAAATACTCTAATGCCTCAGTTTCTTGACCTCTTATCTTTAATGACCTCACCCTCTGATACACCTCAGCTACTCCACTTTATAAACATTTCATACATTTCTGCTGTGGGATGGTCTGTATGTCAAATGTGTTGCTGATTGGTCAATAAATAAATCACTGATTGGTCAGTGGCCAGGCAGGAAGTATAGGCGGGATAAGGAGGAGAATAAAGCTGGGAAGTGGAAGGCTGAGTCAGAGAGACACTGGCAGCCACCACGATAAGAAACAGCATGTGAAGATGCCGGTAAGCCACGAGCCATGTGGCAAGGTATAGATTTATAGAAATGGATTAATTTAAGCTGTAAGAACAGTTAGCAAGAAGCCTGCTGTGGCCATACAGTTTGTAAGCAATATAAGTCTCTGTGTTTACTTGGTCGGGTCGGAGCGGCTGTGGGACTGGCAGGTGAGAGAGATTTGTCTTGACTGTGGGCCAGGCAGGAAAACTCTAGCTACACATTTCCACTGGTAATTATCAATAACTGTACTCCACTATGAACTACTTTGTATCCACAATATCCTACATTTCTGTCACTTCTTCTAGACTGTCATCATTGCAAAGTCTTCCATATTATGCGGTCCTACCTTCATTTAACTTTCTTAGGAAGGATACAAAGCTAGGGAATTACAGTGACATGGGGAAAAGCCTGGGAGATGGAGGAGGCTATGTTCCTGAGACCTTATCTGTTTCAACTATAGAGAAAGGCAGGAAAAAGAGAATGATGAATGCATGCTTCTGGTCAGCTTCCTTTCTCTATGATACAGGCAAGGATCCTAGCAAGAGAATGGTCCACAGTGGACCTGCCTTCCCTACTCAGTTAATGTAATTAAGATAATCACTGACTACATAGCCAAAGGCCATCTCCCAAGTGAGTCTAGACCCTGTTAAGTTGACAACCGTAGCCACCATGGCTCCCTTATTGGGTATGCAATTCTGTGTACAAACTTTGGATTTTCTCTCTCTCTCTCTTTCTCTCTCTCTCTCTCTCCTCTCTCCTCTCTCTTCTCTCTCCCCGTTCCTTTCTTCTCTTTTCAAGACTGGCTCTCCCACAGAGCATAAGCTGGTCTGGGTTTGGGGTTATCCCGGCCTCAGTCTTCTGATGGCAGGATTGTTTTAGCGTGTCTGACTGGATTCATGCTCCCCTTTCTCTTCTCAGTCTACCTTTAATTGGCACTTCTGGCAGTTCCTTTATTCTTTGAGAGTCTCTGGAGTTTAAGAGTATTGTTTTGTTTCTTATTACTTGTTGGCATACTTTCCTAGTGGATGTACCCATCAGCTGTTTTTTCTGTAGATGTAGTCTATGTTAGATGGTACTGGAGATTAGGCTCAGTGTCCTGAGCACACTGGTGGAGTGGTTAGCTACTGAGCTATACCATTAGTTCAGTACACCTCAATCATTCTGTAAGCCAGCTCTACCTGAATATAGAAAACACTTCAATTTGAAAGAATAGGGGTGATTGAAATACCTAGTCATGAACCCCACCCCAGAAAAGTCCCAATGCAGAAGCACAAGAAACAAGAACTATCAAAGCAATGTGACTTGTCCAGAAAATATTCATTCTACAGTACTGAATTCCACTGAGAGTTGGGTACACGGAATCTCAAATAACTCAACAGAATGCTTGTAAGAATGTTCAATAAAGTCTAAGATGACATAAGTAAACTCCTGAATGATTTCAAAGAAAATTAAGTAATCAGTTGAATGAAATAAGGAAGACAGTATAGACTATGAAAGGGGAATTCAACAAAGAAATAGAAACACTGGGGCTGGAGAGATGGCTTGCCCTGCATAAGGAGTTCAGATACCCAGAATCTATGTAAATGCTGGATGGGCATAGTGGGCCATCTGCACTTCCCGCCTGGAAGGAAGGCAGAGAGGGGATCCTCAGAGCGAGATACCTAGTAAGATCCTGCCTCAATGAAAATGGTGAAGAGTGGTTAAGGATGATTCCCAATATTGTCCTTGGGACTCTGGGACTCTACATGCTCAACATGTGCATGCTCACTTGCACACAATGCAAACATGCATATATATAGGCATGCACACCGCACACATGAAAATGGGAAAAACAGATAGTAGAAATTTTACAAAACTTCAATATATCAAATAAAAACTTAGGTGGAAATCCTTACCACTACAACAGATCAAATGGAAGACAGAACATTGGGTCCTTGAAACAAGGTAGATGAATTAGAACAGTCAAAAGTAACAAGAAAGGCAGAACATGTGAGACCTATGGGACAACATTAAAAACCAAGGTGGAAGGGCAAGAATCACACCCAAGGTGTCCTATGGTGTCCACATGCCACACTCATACTCGCTACACAAACACAGACATTCACATAAACACATAGACAGCCCCCAAGGTTTTAAAAATGAAGAAAAAAACCAGTAAATATTGCTGTTTGTGGAAATGGGAATCTTTATACACTGCTGATGAGAATGTGAATCAACTCAGCCAATGTAGAAAAAACTAAAAACAGAACTGCCATATTGATTTAGTGATATCACTCCTGGCAATACACACAAAGAAATACAAACCAATATATTCCAAAGATACCTCCTCATCCATGTTTATTGTGTTTTTACTCACAACAGCCAAATTCTGGAATTAGCCTAAGTGTAAACTAAGAGATAAATGGATGGAGGAAATGTGGTACATATACAAAATAGTTTTGTTTAGCCATAAAGAATGAAACTATGGTGGTGCTGGGGAGATAGTCAGTGGGTAAAGTGTTTGCCTGCATTTGAGAAGACCTGAGTGAGACTTACCAAAACTCATGAAAAAGCCAGGCCCAGTGGTGCCTGTCTCTAATCCCAGTGCCCCTATGATGACATGTGAGAACACAGGAGAATCCCCAAAAACTCAGGCCATGGATATAACAAAGAGACCATGTCTCCAACAAGATGGAAGGCAAGGATTGACAGCCAAGGTTGTATTTTGACTTTCATACTCCTGCCCGCACATGCATACGCACGAAATACTGTCATTTGCCTGGAAATGGTACAACTGACGATCACTATGTTAAGTGAAAAAAGCCTGACCAAGCAAGACAAACATTGCTGTTTGCTCTCATATGTGGATCCCAGCTTTTGCAGATAAAAGCATTTGCATATGTAAACAAGTGTATGCCATGAAAGTGAAGTGGGAGTACCTTAGAAAAGGGACAAGTGGGAGGGAAGAAAGTGAAGGATTTAAAGACACCCTTAAATTAAATGTTGTCAAATGTATACTTAAAAAGGGTTTATGAAATCCATCAAAATGGCAATGACTTTACATCTATATCTGTATCTATAATTTTTTGGCTTTTTGAGACAGGGTTTCTCTGAGTATCAGAGTCCTGGCTGTCTTGGAACTTGCTTTATAAACCAGGTTAGCCTCGAACTCACAGAGATCCGCCTGCCTCTGTCTCCCCAGTGCTGGGATTAAAGACGTGCACCACCACGCCTGGCCCAGCCCTGCTAATAAACATATTTTCTAAAGTCACCTCCACTCTCAGTACAAAATCCACAGCAATATAAAACCAACGGGAAAGTTAGACACAAGCTTGAAACATTTATAACTACATCTAAGTTAAAATAGAGGTTGTTATTGACAATAATTACCTTAAAAGTCAACAGGTAACTGTATCTTCAAAACACTGTAACAACAAACACCGAGATTAGTGTCTGATTAAATATTAGGTACTACAGCCTGGGTTGACATATATTACTCATCACACATAGATTCAATTAAATATTCCTTTCAACTCTAGAAAAAGCCTGTTTTAAAAGAATTTTTTTTCTGCTTGGAAGAGATGTCAACTTTCAGCTCAGCAGTCAGAGTGAAGCAGGAGAACTGTCACTTTCTGTAGTGACTATATAGAGAGACTAAACAAAACTCTACACTTTCTGTCCTCACAGAACAAGATCATTCTTAAGAAGCTCCAACATCTTATCTATATGTTAGAAACTATGTTTCAAAAACTACATTCAATTTAAAAACAGAAACCACACATTTTAAGTTCACCTCTGATATATTCTAGCTTTCTTATAAATGGTTTCAAGCAAATTCTGTTACAGTTTTAAAAAGATACAATTTTTTTTTCTTGGAGATTCAGTTATCCATTACGTATGTACTATGTAGCAGGTGCTGTTTAATGAACCTGAGCTAAATCACCGAGGAACATGATGGATCTAGTCTCAGCAGAGCTCATAATCTGGCAAAGGAATACCCTTAGCCAGCTGTTTTTTTTATCTCTGAACGTGATAACTGGAGTGTTAAGAATTGTAAAAATAATTTTGAAAAATCTATGTGTTGGTAAACTTTCAGTGCTGAGTGTGACCTTCTAGGAGATCCTGTTTGATTATTAGCATAGAGGTCCTGGGTCCAAATCTTGGTTCCACCATTTACTAGACTGACCTTGGCAAACAAACTCAATCCTCATCTGTAAAATAAAGAATCCTAACTGGGTTACACAAGAGAATGAGCAAGGAATGTGTGAAACAGCAGGAAATACCAAAGTATTCAACCCAATTTCCAGAAAACCAGACAATAATGGGGACAAAGGTAACTGTGAGAACACTTTTATCTGGTGCATACAGTTCCTCCCTACTTTAATACTTTCAAGAATCTTTCCTCTATGTCATTTTACATGAGTCAAATTCCTCAAAGAGTAAAGTTTGAATATCTCCTTTATAACATCAATTCATTGTGGGAATCTTATAAACAGGGAGTTAAGAGGCTTTAATTCCATTAAGAGAAAAATGTAAGACATGTGTGGCTGGAGGTCTGCCTGTAATCCCTGCATAAGGTAGGCCTGACACAGCAGGATCATGAGTTTAAGTCCAGCCTGGGCTACATAATGAAATTTTGTTTTTTAAAGTCAAAATTAGGCTTATGTTCTCTAAGATGACAATAGCAATTATGGGGGTGGGGGGGGAAAACAACAAAATAAAACTCAATCATTGGATCCAACAAGCTCCAATGCTTCAATATGCACACAGCACTTTGGGGCTCTAGGTCCCACAAGACCTTTGCATTAGTCAATATTCATGAACGGAAGTTAACTCTTAAACTGGATAATGGCATACAATAAAACACAATCCCAGTTATCTGAAATTGATTTCTCATAGCTGTTAAAAGTAAGCCGTTTAGTTCAAGGTTTATAAAAGAGTCAACAACCTCAGAAGGGCTAATGTCCACAAATTGCAAGCGGGAGCTATATACTACAAACTCTACACCAAAGCCATGTTAATAAAATTGCCTACGAACAAACAGGTAGACGAGCAAAACACACGCTCAAAGCTGCTTTGGACGGGATCAGATTTGCTGAAGATTAATTCAGAATACATTGGAAATCTGATTGTGGTTTTTCCACAACTCCGATGGAGGGATGGCGAGGCACGTTAATGTGCTGGTGTGTAAACTGTCTCACTGCACAAGCAGACCCTAATCTTGAGGTGAAAGCCTGTAACGGTATGCCTCCCTGGAGAGTATGGCACGACAAGGCGATAAGAAATGGCTCGTCGGTCCCAAAGGTGGAGCTGTGGGTTATTTTTGAAAGGACACCCCAACTGCTCCGGACGGAAGAGCAGGGCGTTAAGGATCATAACGCGAGACGGTGTAAAAGGGCACCAGGAGGCGCGAGGTCGGCCAGGACTCCTGAAGGACCTACGACAGGGGTGACCTCTTTCGACTGCCGCCGCCGGCGGTGGGGTCGGGAGTGCTGACGACTCCCGCCTGCACGAGGGAGGCCGCCACCGACCGCCCCGCTGCCGTCAGTCACGCGCCCGCCGTGAAGGTGCCCGCTGGCCCCCTCCCGACGCCCCACTTGCGAACATGGCCCCAGGCTACCTCTCAGGATGTGTGTGTTGGGGGGGCTCTCCACGGAATCCCGCCGCACGGGCCGGAAGAAGCTGCCTCGGCAAGGCGACCCGGCCAAGCGTGGGGCAGGGTGCCGTGTCGCAGGACTCGGGGCGAACGCTCGGCCTCCGCCGCCCAGGCCAGCCGCGCCCACTAGCAACGCGCTCCGACCCTCCCTGCCCGCTCGCAGGGCCACAGGCACGCCGCCGCGCGAGGAACCCTGGGAGTCGTAGTTCCGGCGCGGAGGAAGCCCCGCCCCGCGCCTGACCCTCGAGTTTCTTGATTCCCGGGAGCACTCCCCGGAAGTGACGCAACAAGGCCACGCGTGGCGCCGGCCGGCGTTTCCGCAAACAGAATCGTGGATGACTGTGTAGGTGAGTGTGGCGTTCGGCGTTCTGGCCTTGCCTTGCTTCTTTGTCTTTAGTCTTGCGCGCTGAGAGCCGAGACAGGCCGAACGCCCGGACGCCTGCCTTGGCTGGGCTCGCTTCCCTTTCGCCTCTGGTCTTGGCTTCATGGGGTTTATTGTGCCCGTAGCCGGAAGCGGTGTGAGCACTGCTTGTCTTGAGACGGTGGGCGCTGTTGCTCCTCCAGAGCACACTAGTTCAGGGGAGGAGAAGCTCCAGCGCTTCGGCTCGGGCCGAGGGCCTGTGATGAGGCTGCGATGGGCCGGGTGAGGTGTTGGGAGCCAAAGAGGGTTTGTTCTGTCTGGAGCAGTGCCGTAGGAACCTGAACCAGAGGTTGAGTAGCAGCTGGGCCGGTGAGGGGAACAGATGAATTTAGTTGGAGAACGGCTTGCCTCCCCCTCCCCCACCTCTTCTGTTTCACGCTCTCCCCATCCTGTTTTATTGTCTTGTACCCTGCTCTAGACAGTCAAGGTGGTCCGTCGAGGTCATGCTTGACCGTTAGCTAGCAGGCAGAAACTGGGATGACCAAGAAAGAATGGTTTACTTTAGGGGCCTTACCTAAAGGGGCGAACTTATGGGGGGTCATAGCCAGTGCCCAACCCAACAAGCACGGTTCCGCCCCCTCAAGTAAACCAATGAACAGAGCCAAGTTAATAATGAAAAGCAGAAAGAGGAGATTTACTCTGTGTGGACCCCTTGGGAAGTGGCACCGAGATACCCGTCTGAGAACCCTTCCATCTTTGTGGGTCCTGAAATGAGGGTGAGGTTTAAATAGGAGGCAAGAAAAATGCAGTCTGGCCACGGTGTGGTCCCGCCTACCATTTTGCATCTTTCTCTGGGCTTCAGTCCATTCCTGTAAGATGTTCTTACTCCCGTTGCCTTGCTTCTTTCTTTCCTCTCAGCCTAAGATTCCTAGGGGAAATATTCATTCACAGTCTCTCTTTCTCTCCCGTCTCTCCCTCCCCTTTTCCCCCTCTCTCTCCTCTCTCTCGGTGTTCATTGTTTCAACAATTTAATAGATCAAGAGACCCTGGTATCTCTAGAATATCTTGGTTTCTGTGAGGCAAGTTACAGTGTGATTGCAGCCAGGTCAAAATACCCATCTCCATGTCAGTCTACTTTTTACCATAAATTCCCTTCCCCGTTCTATCAGGACATCTCTCAAGTATTTTCATTATCATTGTTGATAGTTTTATTATAATCATTATTGATGCAAAGCTAAGCATCAAACCCAGAGCCTAGAGAATGCTCTGGTGAACAAGAATTCCTGGAAAGAAGCTGTGACTACAAAGTTGTTGACTGATTTTTAGGATCTGGGTGATTTTTTAGAACTTCAGTGATTCTGATAAGATGGGAATGTTCCAAGTCCAGATCCTACTTATCTTGGCCCATCTGTAGTCTCCTTATTAGCCATTCTGCGCTGTATGCGACGTAATGTGACCATTAGGTAAATCCTTAGGAATGTATAAACAGACCTCTGATTCTGACCAACTAAAAGACCAAGGATTCTGTCAGATAGCATTTAGGTCTTATAGCTGAGATTTCCTTGCTCTTCTGTGACCCCCCCTACCTGACATTTCTGCCAATGTATTTGAGAAGTGTCTGGACTTAAGATTTCCTTTCTTTTGTTACTATAAAACTTACTGGAACTGTTAGCATGTTAGAACATGGAATTTGAGTAACCTAAATCTGTGTCCCTTAGCCATTGTCACACAAATTTGGCTTCAGAATAAACTATCTACTATCCTTTTTTGAGGTAAGAGCTATTGCTATCTTGTATACTAAGTAAAGCGCTCTGTAATTGAGTTGTTTGACATATAATTCTAGACATTCATAACCATTTTATAGTCTTGAATGCTCTATGACAGCTAATCTGTGGAAGTATAGACTGTCCGAATAAATACCAATACTAATTTTAGGCAGCAGTTACAGCTAGCAGTAATATTTTGCATGGTTTCATGATTGTTGTTTTTTTAGTTTGCAGCCAATCTTGGAACTCACTTTGTAGACCAGGCTGGCCTCGAACTCACAGAGATCCATCTGCCTCTGCCTCCCAAGTGCTGGGATCAAAGGTGTGCACCACTGACTGGCGGTTTCATGATTGTAAAAGGAAGTTTCTTTTAGGCATTAAATGGTAGAGAAGTAAGAGTTTTGACAATTGGATGAGCAGTTTTCCTTGATACTGATTTATAGTAGTTACTCTGTAACTTATTTTCCTAGTTGATTTTGTTTCTTCTCTGATTCAGTTGTTCCTCTGTAACATATTTTGGTATTTTGTTACTTTGAGTCAATACTCAAAGTTAGTGAAAACTTTTGTCTCCTGAAATTCTTCCCAGTTTCCCTTGACTTGTTTTCACTAATTTACCTCTTAGTTACTTTTGTATTGCTGTGATAAGGCAGACATTGTGACCAAAGCAGACTTTTAGAAGTGTTTATTTGGGGCTTACAGTTTCAGAGGCTTAAGAGTCCATGACCAGTGGCAGGCAGGCAGGCATAGTTCTGGAACAATAGCTAAGAGTTTACAACTTGATTCAGAAGCACAGGCAAATGGCTATCTGGGAATGGCCTGACTTTTGAAACTATAGAGCCCACTCATGGTGACATGACCTCTACCAAGGCCACACCTGGTCCTTCCCAAACTGTAGCACCGAGATCAAGTATTCAAATATATGAGCCTGTGGGGGCTATTCTCATTCAAACCACTACATGTCTTCATTACTTTTAGAACCTAAAATGTCATGGTCTCTAATTGTTTTGATTTTTGATTTCCCTTTTTCATTTCTTTCAGTAACACAGCTTGATATTTCAGTAGAAGTATTTAAGTTGTGAATTTAGTGATTAGAGTTCACATTGCACTTCTTTGTAGTAGTAGGTTGGCAAATAAATTGAGTGAATAAGTCGACCATTAACAATTCCTTTGTAATAGATGACTTTCTTCCTCCCATTTTACACAAATGCCTTAGAACATACTTGAAAGTGATTTAATGGTTGGTACACTGAAGGCTGAGTCTTCAAGGTGTTCTAAAGCTATCTCCTCTATTTACTTCCTGTACCTTTACAGGGTTCATTATTAAGTAAGGATTTCAAGAGTCTTGACTTTCTGTATTATTTTTGCGTAGTCAGAATACCTAAGCGAGCAACTTAGAGAAAGGAAAGATTTATTTTAACTCATAATTTTGGAGATTTCAGGCCATACTACTTGATTTTGATGATTTGGGGCCTGTGGTAAGGCAGGCCATTATGCTGGTGAGAGTGTGTAAAGGAGGAGGCAGTTTACCTCATGATAGTCAAGAAGTAATTACTGACAACTAGGTATAATTTACATGCATTCTCTAAACAGACTTTACCTCCCTAGAGTCTCTAGAACCTCCCCAAATAGTGCTGCTAGCTGAAGACCAACCAAGCATTCAGCACATAAGCCTGTGGGGGAAATTTCACAAACAGTAACACTGTACTCTAGCTTCAGAGTTCCATGACTGTTTGATAATGCAAATGCTTGTAGCCCACTCTCACTCAGTCCCCACTCTCAGTCCTCACAGTTAGCAGTTCCAGTACTGTTCAGAAGTCAAAGTTCAAAGTCTCTTGACACTCAGGGCAGGCCCTTTGCTGTGAGACACTGTAAGATAAAAAGAAAATTACATGGTAATTCTGGTGGGAACCCAAAAGATTAGAATGCCAGCAGGAATACAGTGAGCCAGGCTTAAGAGGTCTCAGGTCTCAGAACAAGGATGCTTTGGGGAATTGGACTACAGGCCATTCACGCTATGTTCTGGTAAAGAGTTTGTAAAGATTTGTCCCTGCTGTTAAACTTTGTCTCAGGCTAACTTTAAAGACTAATTAATCTAGTGGAAGAAATGTCAACATTCAAGCTATTGCATGCTTTTTTTGTTGTTTTTGCTTTTTGAGATGGGGCTTACTGTGTAGCCCTAGCTGGCCTGGAACTCTATATAGATATGGCTCCAACTCACAGAGATCCTCTGATCTTTGCTAGCCAAGTGCTGGGAGTAAAGGCACATACCACCATGCTCAGCTTGTAGCATGGTTATCAGTAACTACTTCTTACCAGCTTTATAGTGAGAATCAAGAGCAGAAATTTGAAGTTTGATCAAATTACTGTGTTGCAACATATCAGGCCCATATACACATATTGTTTCAAATTCTTTCAAAGGCGGCTGCACCACATTGTCAGGTAGTCACAGTGTAAGCAACCCTACTTCTTTGGTATCAGTCTTAGTTACTTTTTCATCGTTGTGACCAGATACCAGAGAAAGTGATTTAAGGGAAGCAGGATTACTTTGTCTTGTGTTATTTGAGGTTTCAATTTGTGGTGGTTTGGCTTCTTGCACTTGGGCAAAATACCATGGCAACAGTAGCGTGTGACCAAGGAGCTTCACTTTATAGTGATGGACAGGAGGCAAAGAGCAAGTTGTCAAGGATGGCATAACTTTCAGTGGTATCTGTCAAGTGACCTACTTCCTCCAAACTAGTCCCCATGTTCTTGTAATACTACTATATATTTATAACTTCATATATAAGCATTTTTGTAGTCCTGATGTGCACAACCTTTTGACATTATGAAACAATGTCATCTACAAAGTTCATGCTTGAGATTTGCACTGAATAGTTGATGATTTTTTGTTGGGCCACATTCACATCTGTAACAAATGGCCATAAGTGGTCCTGGACTATAGGTTAGACATGCCTGCATAACTGAAATTGTTTTAAACTCCTGAAACTAAATGACCAACTTTATTAAAATTACCTTAGATATTTTTTGTTGTTGTTGTTGTTTTGTTTTTGTTTTTCGAGACAGAGTTTATAGCTTTGTGCCTTTCCTGAAACTTACTTTGTAGATCAGGCTAGCCTTGAACTCACAGAGATCCGCCTGCCTCTGCCTCCCGAGTGCTGGGATTAAAGGCTTGCGCCACCACTGCTGGCGTTTTTTTTTAAATAATTTATTTATTTTTTTATTTTATTTTTATTTATTTGTTTTGCCTGCATGTATGTCTGTGTGAGGGTGTCAGATCTTGGAGTTACAGTTGCCAGGTGGGTGCTGGGAATTGAACCCGGGTCCACCAGAAGAGCAGTCGGTGCTCTTAACCACTGAGCCATCTCTCCAGCCCCCTTAGATCTTAACATTAGTGTTTATAAATAATACCTTCTTTTCTTGCCATTACAGTGTTGATTCATGAGTTTTTGCTGTCAGTTCAAGTAACTAGAAATGGAAAGTTCTGTAAAAGCAGACAAACATGAAAAGATGTCTTTTGACAAGGCAAAAGTGTCCATAGATTCTGAAACAGCATCCCCTCCCAGTGTTAATGAGTCCATTGCTGCATCTGGGCCGAGGCTTTCTGAAAAGACACCTGCGTGCCAGCAGGCAGATAAACCAAGAATGAGGAAAGAGTTTGAAGATGATCATGCAGAGGAGAATTCAAGTTACGTGGAGGATTCTCCAGCCAAGAAAAGAAAACTTGATGTGGAAATCATCTTAGAGGAAAAGTGCACTGGCGATGATGGAGGCGTTTCAAAGAAAAGGAAACTGGAGGGGGGTGATGTTTCCGAAGATGAACCTTCCTCTGGAGAGGTCACCCAGAGAAAGAGAAAACTACAATCGGAGGATACTCCAGAAAAGCGGAAAGTATGCTTTGTGTATTTTATCTGTAATTCAGTGTGTTAGCCAGAAGTATGGAACAGTCGTGGGGATACATATGTATCTTAAGGCACAATAGACTCTTAAAATTAAAATTTTGTTAAGGTGAAAGTTGTGCTGTTAACATTTTCATGTTATTTTGGAACTCCTATTTGTCCAGAACCTTGAAAGGTAGTTTCTGTAGTTTGCTTTTTACTAATTTTTTTTTTTTAAAAGATGGCAGTATGTGGCCCACTTGATTTACCCTTTGTCCTTTTTTTCCCTCTCTTTTTTAAAGATTATTTATTTTATGTGCATTGGTGTTTTGCCTCAATGTATGTCTGTGTGAGGGTTTTGGATCTCCTAGAACGGAGCACAGACGGTTGTGAACTGCCATGTGGGTGTTGGGACTTGAACCTGGGCCCTCTGGAAGAGCAGCCAGTTCTCTCAACCACTGAGCCATGTCTCCAGCCCCCTCATTGTCCTTTTTTTATCAGGTGTTTCAAAGTGTTGCCTAATGATCACTTAAAGTAATAAATGTTAAAATTGTGCCCAACTTTACTCTCCATTATTAATGTGCTACACTATAATTGTTTACAGCTTCTAGTATGATTTGCATAGTTATTTAGTATAATTTTGGTTAAGTTGATGTAAAAGGCTGATATAGAGCAAGTGGTAACAAACATTTACCATATTGCAAAGGATTCTGAGGCTGAGTCTGGGATTGGCGAGAAAGACTACTTTACAAATTAGTAACGTTTGTTATCAGGCCTGAAGAAGAAAGTAGCAGGCCAGGCTTTCACCAGTGGTGTCCTTGTGAAAAGGTGAGCTAATATGTTAAACGTGGGTTTTAAGACTTAGACTGGCAGATTTTTTTTTTCTAGTAAAAATGTATCCTTAAATTTGATACGTAAAGTAAACAAAGAATTAGGTCCTTTGAAAAGGGAGATAGCAGATGCTGGAGGCCTTTACCTACTATGGAATTTTTGTAGAGTGCCTAAGGTTTTACTAAATGCAGATAGAAAATTGTTGTATTAGATTAATAATGTGTAATAAAAGTCACTGATATTGAGTATAACATTCTAAATTCTAACTCATATACATTATGTAATCATAACAATAATTTCCTACTGATATTAAAGTATAGTAGCTTATTTCTCTTACTCCCTTTTAAGAAGTTTATCTATTGACTGTAATTTATTGTTGAATAAATCAAAACTCTGGAAAAAGAGTAGTTTCCTTAAAACATGTAGCCTTAAATTATATAGGTGAGGATCACAATGAAGACTTTAAGCTGGGAGACTTTCCATAAAGAATTGGAGACACCTCTTAGGTACAGTAGTAACTGCTGTATTACTGTGGGGCCAGCCATCGCTCTGTGAAATGCCCTTCAGTTGGGTTTGCTCCTTCCGCAGTCAGGTGGTCTGGGGCCTTTGCTTACTTTCTAGGTCATGCTCTAACCCTTGACTTTTGTCCTTTTGGTTTCAGAAGCTGGAGGAAGGTCACAGCTCTGCCGTTGCTGCCCACTATAACGAGCTTCAGGAAGTGGGGCTGGAGAAGCGCAGTCAGAGTCGCATTTTTTACCTGAGAAACTTTAATAATTGGATTAAAAGTATTCTTATTGGTATGATTGGTTTTTACCCTTTAGTTAAGAGATTTAAAATTTGATTGAATTATATTTTACAGGCTGGACATTGAAGCCAAGGGTGCATGCATTGGAAGTGCTCTCCCGAGCTGATCCACAGCCCATTTCTTTGTTGTTGTTTTTTCTCCTCTCTTTTTTTAATCATATTTCAAGCTTCAAAGGCTGTTATTTGTTTTTCATTTTGTGATCACACTTTGGCTTTAAAAAGCTAGAGAGCCGCCGGGCGGTGGTGGCGCACGCCTTTAATCCCAGCACTCGGGAGGCAGAGCCAGGTGGATCTCTGTGAGTTCGAGGCCAGCCTGGACTACCAAGTGAGTTCCAGGAAAGGCGCAAAGCTACACAGAGAAACCCTGTCTCCAAAAAACCAAAAAAAAAAAAAAAAAAAGCTAGAGAGCCAAATTCTTGTTTGCTGTTGGTTAATGGTATTGGAAATTAATGATGTTGAGTTGATAGTAAGTTAAATAGGCTTTCATCTGACAGTGTGCTTCTTTATACCTATAGTTAATGGTCCCCAAGGCTGTTACACAGTTGTCTTACTCTAATAGTTTTAGTGTGGTGGCACGTGGGATTGAACATTGAGTTTTTGTTATGTCAGGGAAAGACAGTGTAATGATGAGTCTACCTACAAGCCTTCAGTGAATTGGCATCAGTTATCATAGAGCTTGTTTCTCTTACGTGCTTTCTTGGGAAAAATAATGTTTACTTTGAGAATTGGTAAAGACATACAGCTTTGGAGCTAACATTTTTGTCCATGGAAACTCACCTTTCAAATTAAAATGGAAATGAATAGAGAAAATAGGATTTAGAATGTAGTATTCCTTTCTCTAGTTAAATCAAGTTTTTTTGTTTTTCTTTTCTTTTTGTCTGATTTTTTTGATTCAGACAAGTAAAGTTTAATGGGAATTCTGGCAAGTTGACTTTATGTTTATGCACTTAACATGTCATTTTGTTATTTTGGTGAATAAGTATAAGATTCATGGCAGAAACTTAAATATGGAATACTTATGGTGCTATTTAAATCTATATTGAAAGGCAGAAATATTTGTACTGAATATTTTAGCTACCCAAATAGTACATACACAAATTATAGAGTACACAAAGTAATAAAACAGGAAAAATAAGTATAAGATTCATTATTGTATCAAGTTTTAGTACTGCTGAATACTTCATTTATCTCATACTATTAATAAGCCTTTGAAACCATTGTTTGAACTTTTGCTTGTTTAGGAGGTAAAAGATGTTATAGTTTTGGGGTATTTCTTAAGCCTGACTATAGAGAATAGGAATCAATTACTATTATCTGTAACTACTTCAGTTTAAATATGTATGAAGTTAAACATTGGCTTATGGGAAGAAATACAAATTAGTTTCTCTCATCACAAATGTAGCTTTTTTTAAAAAAATTAGAACTTAAATATTATGTAATGTTGACTCAAATTTTGAAAATAGCCTTCAAAAAACCACTTTACCATTGTAAATGGTATATGTGTACCCTTTAATGCTAGCGCTCAGGTTGTTCCTATGTTAGATTTTGGAATACAGATTACAATATATAATACGTTAATGTGTTACATATAGTTCATATGCTTTGTCAGACAGAAGTTAGTGGGTTTTAAAGAAGTGGCTGTAGTAAAAAGAGATGCAGTGTGATTGATTTCTTTCTTTTTCAGGGGAATTTTTAGAAAAGGTACGACAAAGAAAAAATCGTGATCTCACTGTTTTGGACCTGGGATGTGGAAAAGGTGGAGATTTGCTCAAGTGGAGGAAGGGGAGAATTAGCAGGCTGGTGTGTGCTGGTAAGACAGATACTGACATAGTAAAGAATTACTTTGGGGGCCAGTGAAATGGCTAGGGGGGGAGTAGAAGCACTTGCCATGCAGGTCTGCAGCTTGAGTTCAATCCCCGGACACCACGTAAGGTGGAAGGGAAGATGCTTGCTTGTGCTTGGTGTCGCCCTTGCTCATACACACATGCATATGGTGACAGTAATAATAGCTGAGTAACTGATGAGTGTTAACGATCAGAATTGTTTTAGTCAGTTAGGTGAATGGGGAACTAGAAGGTTCTCCTTGCTAGCATGATGCTAAGATATCTTAAGGCAACTTTTCTCCTGAGACCTATGCATATGATAAATGTTTTGAAAAATTCGTTGTCTTTCCTGATGGTTTTGTTACAGTTAATGTTAACTTGTCCTTCCCAAAAGGAAAGATATATTTTTGTTGTTGTTATTATTATTATTATTATTATTATTATTATTATTATTATTATATTATTCCCACCAGGCATCATGTTCTGCTTGATGGGTTGCAGGAAGTATAACAGCATTGTCTCCAAAAGTACTGCTCAAATCAGTCGTTTCTTTCCCACTTTTTTGTTTTATGAGCCTTATATACTAAAAATATTACTGAAGAATTAATGATTCTTTGTGTGGCTATAGCTGTTGATGTTTGACCATGTTAGAAATTGAGGCTGTGATTTTCAATTCATACAAATAAAGTTTAATGGGAATTCTGGCAAGTTGACTCTGACATGTGTTTCTACAGTTAATGTGTCATTTTGTTACTTTGGTGACTAAGCAGTTGAAAGGTAGTGGTAGCCTTTTCAGATAATTGTAGTTATTCATCTTTGGTGAGCAGTCAACAAGTGGCAGTCTGATAAGGTTAGTTATAATGTGCAATCTGAAGCCTTATTGACAGATGTTACATATTCCTTACTTCACACTCACTGGTCTGTCTTACAGTTTCAGAATGGTTTTATAATACCTAGAAAATGCTGTGACTGACGTCAAGTTTAACAGGAATCTTAACAGTTCTTATTAATAAAATCAAACCCGAGGCCAGTTATTGGGGTCAATGCTGGTAGATCAGAGAGACAGAACAAGCCACAGCTATCTCACCTTGCCAATTCCTCAGCTGGTCCTGTTTCCTCAGACTGGAAGCCTCTGAGTCCTCATTCAGAATGAATCTCAGCTGAACTGTGTTGCTCCAAAGCCTGAAAGCTTAACCAGGCCAAATGCTTAACCAGCCAAATGCTGCTAGTTTTTGGTCCTCAACGCCTTATAAACCTTTCTACTTTCTACCACCACTCCCTGGGATTAAAGGCGTGAGTCACCATGCCTGGCTGTTTCCAATGCGGCCTTGAACTCACAGAGATCCAGAGGGATTTCTGTCTCTGGAATGCTAGGATTAAGGGCGTGTGCTACCACTGCCTAACCTCTATGCTTAATATTGTGGCTTTTCTGTTCTCTGACCCCAGATAAGTTTATTAGGATACACAATATTTTGGGGAACACAATACCACCACAGTCAAGAAATCAAATTTGCTTAATATTACCAGTCACAAAAGTGATTGATACAAGGGTTTTCTTTCTTTCTTTTTTTCCTTCTTTCCTTTCTTTCTTTCTGTATTTATTTTTTTTTTACTTGAAGTCAAATTTTATCTCTGGTAACAAGTACTATGCATTGTGTCCCTTAAAATGACCCTGTTCATCTTCGAAAATACATGTATAATAGTCAGAGTTTGAGAGTCATTCTTTTTTTTTTTTTTTAAAGATTTATTTATGCCTGACCGTGGTGGCGCACGCCTTTAATCCCAGCACTCGGGAGGCAGAGCCAGGCGGATCTCTGAGTTCGAGGCCAACCTGGTCTACAGAGTGAGATCCAGGACAGGCTCCAAAGCTACACAGAGAAACCCTGTCTCGAAAAACCAAAAAAAAAAAAGATATATTTTATTGTGTATACCGTGTTCTGCCTGCATATGTGCCTGCAGGCCAGAAGAACGCATCAGATCTCATTATAGATGGTTGTGAGCCATCATGTGGGTGCTGGGAATTGAACTCAGGACCTTTGGAAGAGCAGCCAGTGCTCTTGACCTCTGAGCCATCTCTCCAGCCCGAGAGTCATTCTTTCAAGTTAAAGTGACTTATTTCAAACACATGACCAGTATTAGCTGTAGCAAGCTTTTTCTTTTGGGCCACCAATCAGCTTCTAACTCATGACAAGGAGACTTATTATTAGTTTTGAATGCTTGGTCTAGCTTAGGCTTGTTTTTGGCTAGCTCTTTTAACTTCAGTTAACCTGTTTCTTTTTATCTACCTTTTGCCTTGGTACTTTTTACTTTTCTTTCCTTCTGTATATCTTTATTTTACTGCTTCTCTTGGCTAGCTGGCTGGCTGGCTGGTGCCTGGCTTCTTGCTCCCGAGGTGTGATCGCCCTTGTTCTCGTCTCCTCCTCCTTCCTCTTCTTCTCTCCAGCCTAAATTTCTCCTCCTATTTATTCTCTTTGCCTGCCAGCTCCACCTATCCCTCTCCTGCCTAGCTATTTATTAGACCAATCAGGTACCTTAAGCAGGCAAGATAAAACAAATGCAACACACCTTTACATAATTAAACATACATCCTCACATTGTTAAACAAATGCAGCATAAACGAATGTAACATACCTTCACATAGTTAAAGTAATATTCCACAACAATTAGCTCACAACTCAGAAGGCATATGCTAGGTGCTGCTGGTAACAAGAGAAGTTTGCTCCATACTTTACCATGGTGATGTTCAGAGATAGGAATCAAATGGCCAAGATTGACTTCTTACTGCTTTATGAAGGATATTCTAAATGAAAACTGGCTTTCCCTACTGGCATGTGATAGTGAAGAACACAGGACACCTACACAGTAGCCATCATCTCTCTGTCTGTCACGAGTGCAAATCTGAAAGCAGGGACGAGAACAGAAACATTTCAGTGTGAAAACAGTAACTTGGTATTTACAAAATGAGCTTGTAGATGGTGTTAAGTTTTATAGTTCAAATTGGAATCTAAGTTGTCTGCCTCATATTTTAAATGAGCCTTTAAAACCTGGGGCTGGCAAGATTGTCAGGCATCAAAGCCCTTGCTGCCTCAGCCTGACAACTGAGGTTGGATCTCTAGGTCCCATGACGAAGGGAGAGAAGCAGTTCCTGAGAGCTGTCCTCTGACTTCCACGCACCTAATAATGATGATAAAACTGATCATCCGGCACTTGCCCAGCATAAGTACTGTGAAGAAAGCCTTTGTCTAAAGGAACTAGATGGAACCCCACAGCCATTTCCTTGTCATATGCCTGAATTTCATGCCCCACCCGCCCCAGCTTATCAGTCGAGTTGTTATTTTGTGTTAATACTTACTAATACGCTTTACCTTTCTAGATATTGCTGATGTTTCTATGAAACAATGTCAACAGCGTTACGAAGACATGAGATGTCGTCGTGATAATGAATATATTTTTAATGCAGAGTTTATAACTGCTGATTGTTCAAAGGTATAGACTCTTTGTTTTAATTTTGAGATTTATTTTTTTATTTTATGTGGATAAATGTTTGCCTGTGTATGTGTTATGTGCACCACATGCATGCTTGGTACCTTTGAAGGCCAGAAGAGGGTATCGAATCCCCTGGAACTGGAAGTAAGAACAATTATAAGCTGCCATGTAGGTTCTTGGAATCAAACCAGAATCCTCTCCAAGAGCAGCAAGTGCTCTTAACTGCTGAGCCATCTGTGCAGCCTCATCGTTTAAAATTTGTTTTCTCCCTACGGTGTTGGGGATCCAAGGCAGGGCCTCGTGCATGCTGCATCTTCCATTTATAAAACTGACTCATTTGTTAAAATGTGTGTGAAGCATTAAAAATCTTAAGGCATGCATTTTCAGTTTCTACTGGAAATGTATCCTTGGGTACTTTTAGGAAAGGTTTACCTTTAGTAATTGGATATTTGAAATCCCTTCATTACTTTTTGATTTGGTCAGGATTTTTTTTTTAATAGTTATACCTTAGTGTCCCCAGAAGCTCAAAGTCACATGTATGAAGTGACATAATATTTGTGGGTAACTGCACACATACTCATGCATTTTTAAAGCGTGTTTAGATGATTTTATTACTGTATCTAATGCAGTGAAAGTGCTACATAACTAGTCACACTGTATTGTTTAGGAAGTAAGCGTCAAGGAAAAGAAGTCTACAGATTTGTTTAAACAATAAATTTTCCTCTTTCGTATCTTCAGTTGATCGTTGGTTGACTTCACTGTTGAAGAACGTAAGGATATGAAGGGCTGCTTTATTCTGTAATAGACCTGTACTTAAAAGTGTGTTTGCTTCAACTTGTGTTTTATAAGGGGGGTTTCCCGTCATGCTGGGATCACTGTGTGTTTTCTACCTTCCATTTGTTTCTGAAATTCTGAACTGAATGGATGTCTCACTGGGAACTTGATGTTCTTTGTCTTTAAGTATTATATTTTAAAACGTTTAAGTGGTACATGTTTAGTAGTCATATTTTGTTTGCAGCCTTGAAAATGAGGATGAAAAAAACGAATGCTGTTAAAATAGTTCATACTTCAGCACTATATCCTTTAGATGCCAAAGGCTGAATGTTTTTTGTTTTTTATTACCCAAGTTATTGAATGTCAGTTTATTTTAGCTCTCAAGACCAACTGAAATGTTACATAGCATTTTAATTATTTCTATGTCTGTGAGTATAGTGTGCATGTGTGTGTGTCAGAATGGAGTTTCATATGTGACAGAGATGCCACTGGAGGCAGAGGGCTCCGGTCTTCACCTTCCACTTTGTTTGAGATGAAGCCTCCCTTGTTTGCTTCTGTTCTTTATATCCCAGGCTAGTTGGCCTGTGAGCTTCCAGAGGATTTTCCTTTGTCCACCTTATCTCAGGAGAATGGTGGGGCTGCTGACCCATCCTACCATGTCCTGATTTACCTATATCCCAGGAACCCAAAGTCAGGTTGTCAGGCTTGCAGGACAAGCACTTTTACCTACCGAGTTATCTCTCTGGCCTGACATATATTTTAAACATGATTTCAGAATCCCCAGATTTTAAAACACTATGAAAATCAGAATCATGATTATTTTATATGTATGTGTTGGGTGGGTGGGGGAGGACATCCTCATGTGGATGCATATGTGTGTATTGGCCAGGTGTTGACTTCAGGGGTTGCTCTTCGTTTTCTGAGCAGAATTTCTCCCAGGGGCCTTGGGATCCTCGATTAGGCTGGCTGGCTGGCCAATAAGCTTGTGCTACTGCTTCTCTGTCCCCACTGTTGAAATTACAATCACACAACACTGCACCCAGTTTTTTTACATTGGTTCTGGGCAGCTAACTCAGAAACTTTGACTTGTGCGTTCTATGCAGACCCGCAAATTGTTTTCGGCCAGGGTAAGAACGCTCCTTTTAAATAAAATGGTCCTTGTTAAAGTATGTACATGACAAGAAACGGAAATCTATCGGTGCTGTCAGGGAATGTGTACTTTAAGAACCCGACATTCTAATAATTTCCGAAAGCCACTGTTAATCTACGTTGTATTCGTGTGGAATCTAAACCTTTTACATTTGTTGCAGGAACTTTTGGTTGAAAAATTCCGTGATTCAGAAATGCGCTTTGACATCTGCAGCTGCCAGTTTGCCTGTCATTACGCCTTTGAGTCCTTGGAGCAGGCTGATATGATGCTTCGAAATGCTTGTGGAAGGCTTAACCCTGGGGGCTATTTTATTGGCACCACGCCCAATAGCTTCGAACTGATGTAAGTAACTTGACTCCAATTAAAATTAGTCAGATAACTTTAAAAATTGCATCATGTGGTTTTTCACATGCATGATTTGATTGATAGGATCAAAAATGTTAATCATAATTCTTTTATTTTGGTTGTGGAATAACCCTGATAGAAGACGCCTTGAGGCTTCAGAAACAGAATCATTTGGAAATGAAATATACACTGTGAAATTCCAGAAGAAAGGAAGTTATCCTTTATTTGGCTGCAAATATGACTTCAACTTGGAAGGTGTTGTGGATGTCCCTGAATTCTTGGTCTATTTTCCATTGCTAACTGAGTAAGAATGTCTTGATCTGTTGCTTTTTCTCTCCCCTCATCCCTTCTCCTAAGGGGACAAAAGTAATGTTGCTATTCATACTGTATTTTAAATGCAACCCCAAGAAAAAGCCTTGGCTGCAGAAGTGGTATCCACTTTGAATAGCTTTCTTTCCTAAGAGAAGGGAGCCAGCCGCTTCTACTCAAGGTAGAAGGTAACTGACCCTATAGGTAGCAGACACCACTTTGATAATAGAAAAATGAGAAAGTCTAAGATCCTCCCTTTGAAAGAGCTTATCAAAATTTGTGTTTCAGTACTGCCCATGGAGTAGTTGTTTTGTTTTGTTTATTTTTCCTTTTTCTTTCTTTTTTTGAGACACGGTCTCTATTATGTAGTCCTGGCTGTCCTGGAACTCGCTATGTAGACCAGGCTGGCCTTGAACCACACAGAGAACTACCTGCCTCTGTCTCCGTAGTGCTGGGATTAAAGGTGTGTAACCACCATGCCCATCTTCCTACAGTGTTGATTATAAAGTCATGATTTCTGGCTATATTCCTCCTGTCCACATTAATTCCTAAGAATTCTAGTGAACTGCAAGCACAGGAGAAATTGAAGGTACTGGACTTTTATCATGTGACTTCAAGACCTTGTGAGATAGACTGATAGATAGATAGACAGACACATTAATCTGCAGGATTTCCCTGCACCCGAATATAATAAAAGCCAACTTACATAGAGGCTATATACACATGACCAAATTTAGTTTTGTACTTTTTAAAAACAAATGTTTTCTAATTTGAATATTAACTGAAGAAGCAGGAGGGTTTTTGCTTACCTAGATTTAGCTGGTGATTATTTTGATCTAGACTCAGTCACCTTGTAAAGTTGTCACATAAGGTTTTCTTGAGTTGTGCTAGCTTGGTGGCTCCTCCTTGTAGTCCCACACTCAAGAGACTGATGCAGGAGGCCAGCCTGCGCTATAGTTAAGACTGTCCCAAAACAAGGGAAGCAAGTGGAGAGCTGGGGCTAGAGGAAGGGGAGGGAAGAGAAAGTCAAGTAACGAAGCACGGCAGGACTTTAAAACACTGAGCACAGTGTTGTAGATAGAAGCTGCCAACAACATTGAAATTTTCCGTCAGTGTGCTTTCTATTTTAAATCGTTCAGCTTTGGAAAAATGTTACCCTTCAACTTTTCATTTGCTTTGTATGTTAGCTTGGTGGTTTTGCTGAACAAAATTAGTAGTTTTAGTAGACTCTGAAAAATAAAAGAATGAAGTGAAAACTATTGTTTAATGCTAAGCAAACTTAGCATTATTTTCTACTTCAATTGCTTGAACATAATAAACTTAGAAAGTCATAGATTCTTGCTTTAATATATAATTGTTTTCATCTCATTAGTTTTTTTTGAGAATTTCATGTAAGAGGTAGTTTTGATGAAATCCATCCCTTCCTCCCCCTATTCACTTCTTTCCATGTTCCTCCCACATCCTCCTCACAAATTATTTTCCTTTTCTATTATTATTATTATTTAACCGACTAAGTCCAATTAGTGTTGCCCATATCCTCATGGCCTTTTCCTATTGCTTGTGTTTTGTGATGGGATTGATCATCTGGAGTTAGTTTGTTGCTTGTGGGTTTGATAAGAGTTTCTGTTCTACCTATGTTGAGTGGGAATCTGTTTCTGATTTTTCTGTTAACTAAATGTGGTTGATTTAATCTTAGGTAGGAGCTTCCAGGTCTGTTAATTAAATACTTGTTTTGGTTTTTGACTGTGAGGCTCAGGTGATTCCAATGCAGTTTTTTCAGTAGATTAATTATAGCCAGTGTGTGTGATTGGCTCAGTGAGGTCCTGGACAGTTCAGGTGTGGTTGAGATGCCTAAACACTAATAAAAGTGTAGGCCAGTGCTTGGGTGAGGTTCTAGAGTTGAGGGAGTAGAGAAGGGACCTTACCAGCATGTGTCACAGGCGGGCCAAGAACTGAAGAGAGTGTCTTATTGTGGGGAGCCACACCAAGAAAGCCTGCTTATGTTCCTCCTTCCTGGGGCTGAGTCAGGGGAAGGGCAGTGTGGATGGAAGGAAAGACACAATAGTCTTGCCAAGAAAACCCATGGCTATAGCCTGATGTATTTGTGCAAGCATTTGGTGATCTAAATGTTAAATCTAAAAATATTGAGGTTGAGATGGCTTCATGCCATTTAATTAAGAAACTAAACAACAATAATGTAATTAACGTATTGAATGAAAAGTCTATTCAAATTGCTCAAATTGGGTTCTTTTTAATGATGTGTTTTTCCCTGTTTTTTTTCTCGACTATAACTTGCTTTTGTTTCTAGTGGCTTGTCATGTCTAGGAGATTTATTATAATTGAGTTGACTTAAATAAATAAAAGAAGTACCTATCTATACTCATGCTTTTCTCTCCAAGAAAGGCTCACTCGGTTAACAACCCAGTGTCCATGTGTGCCTTCTGCAGTGGACAAGTGCAGGAGCCTCTGCCATGCCTCTTTCCTTCTCCTCCCAACTGTCTCCTCCCACTGAGCTTTGTCTTGTATGTTTGTCCCCCTTTCCCCACTCCCTGAAATCATTTCCAGGAAGAGAATTGTTAAGACTAATGTTTAAGTTGAATGGGATATGGATGTAGAAGACAGGAATGATGTTCCTACAAAACTAAGGAAGCGGCAAAGAGGCTGAGCCAAGAAGAGGAGGGCAAACTAGCAGAGCTAAGCCAGACTAGCTGCTAAAGGCAGCAGTATCACGTTAGAAATGAGTGGCTCGGAGATCATGCTCAAGGATTTTGAATTATGTCCTGGAGCCCAGTGAAGGGAACTGCAAAGGACAGTAAGAGGACCAACTTTGTATATTTGAAAACTTAATCTGGCTGTACCTGAGAAAGTTCATTGACGGAGAGTAGGACTGGAAGCAGGGGACAGCATGGTGGTGCTAGAGATTGGTGCAGGCTGGCAGTGAATGGATGTGGTGAGAAGTGGAGCTGTTCGAAGTAGACATGTTGTGGGTAAGAGAAAGAGAACTTTCTGATGTATTGAGCACAGGGAGTATAGAAGGAGGTGGATGAATTCACTGCACTGATGAAGACGAGAAGTTTGAGAGTGTCTGACATCCAGGGATGATAGCTGATGAGCAGTGATGTTAATTAGTGTCACAGAAAATTGAACTCGAGACAGCTTCCAACATTCCATGTAGTTGGTACAGCGAAGTAGGTAGGTTCTGGGGCAAACTTCAAAACCTTAACAGTTAAAGGGAGACCTGTAAACAATCTGCAAGAAGCCGTCCAAGAAAGACTTTTGATTTAAAAAAAAAAAAAAAAAAAAAAGTTTATCTTACCAGAGAATACAGGAGATAAAAATGAATATTCTACTTTTTTTTTTTTTTTTTTTTTCGAGACAGGGTTTCTCTGTGTAGTTTTGGTACCTGTCCTGGATCTCACTCTATAGACCAGGCTGGCCTCGAACTCATAGAGATCTCTGATGTCTCTCTGTTCTGCTCCAAACTACCAAGCACCTTGGCCCTGCCCTCTACCTAGGTGAAAGTTTCTTCACTTGCTTCCCTGCAGTTGATACATCTTAGTTTTTTTTGTTTGTTTGTTTGTTTTGTTTTTTTTTTTTTTTTTTGGTTTTTTTGGAGACAGGGTTTCTCTGTAGTTTTGCGCCTTTCCTGGAACTCACTTGGTAGCCCAGGCTGGCCTCGAACTCACAGAGATCCACCTGGCTCTGCCTCCCGAGTGCTGGGATTAAAGGCATGCGCCACCACCGCCCGGCGATACATCTTAGTTTTGTTCTGCCTCCCAGGTGCTGGGATTAAAGGCATGCATACTGCCTCCGCCCAGCTTAAAAATGAATATTCTAAGAAAGATGTTGGCATCATTTGTAGATGTGAGGAAGTAAATAAAGTAGAGCTGATAGAAAAGTGCTCTTATGTGGCCCTTTGTTTCATGACCTATTGGTCACGCTAAAGGAAGACATGTCTGCAGCTTATAGATATTTAGAATGTTTGTTTCTTCATAGGCATGTAAGTTGTTACTCATCTTCCATTTGTATTTTTGTTCAACATAAGTAAAGAGTACCCTTTGTAGTTAAACCCAAATGTCACTGCTCTCACTTACAAACTCAGCTATGAAATTAAAGGAACCGAGAGATGGCACTTGCTGCCAAGCATGATGACCCGAGTTCATGATGACCTGGGACCCACAATGTGGAAGGAGAGAACCAGTACCCTCAAGTTGTACTCTGCCTACCACTCACAAGCACACACACATAAGTTTGATGAAATAATTTTTTAAAAAGAAATTACAAACATCTGAAAGCCTTTCCATGAATCTTTTTTGGACAGAATGGCTAAGAAGTACAATATGAAGCTAATATTTAAAAAAACATTTCGGGAATTCTATGAAGAGAAGATTAAGAACAGTGAAAACAAAATGCTCTTAAAACGAATGCAGGCCCTGGAGGTAAGTATACAGAAAAAGTACAGAGACTCTAGGATGTGGTGAATTTGTTTGGTATTTTGGGCTCCTTTCAAAGTTCTTCAAACATTGTGTAGTTAGGTATATTGTGCAGTTTATAGTTGCTGTAGATACTCTACTTTTAAGAATGGAGGCTGATAAAGACTCTTCCATAGTGGATGTTCAGTAAACACTTGGTGAATGAATGAGTGGTCTTCTTATCAAATTCTGTTTCCTAGGTAGAACTACTTTAAAATACGGTTTCTCAACCCCAGAACTATTGGCATTGTGGACTGGAAAGAATCCTCTTCTGTGCTCTGGTAGTACATTCAGAGCACTGTTGGCCTCTAACTATTAGATGCCTACCTGTAGTACCCATGTCCCTGCTGTGACAGGCATGTTTCCTACTGGGTAAAAATCATGCTCTCCCTATCTAGAACAGCTCTTTATGACTAGATCAGCGGTTTAGGGCCCTCCTGGCCAAGATCTACGGCAAGCTCTAGGGAGATATTTGTTCTGTGATGACTCTCTGGTGGGTTATATACTAAGGTCAAGGCTGCTTGACTCTTGTGCTTCTCCCAGTGCAGTAGTGAGAGAGAGAGACACTGCACAGTCACTGCCTGCTCTCCCAGTGCAGTAGTGAGAGACATACTGCACAGTCACTGCCTGCTCTCCCAGTGCAGTAGTGAGAGAGAGGGACACTGCAGTCACTGCCTGCTCTCCCAGTGCAGCAGTGAAAGAGAGAGAGACACTGCACAGTCACTGCCTGCTCTCCCATGCAGCAGTGAGAGAGAGAGACACTGCACAGTCACTGCCTGCTCTCCCAGTGCAGTAGTGAGAGAGAGAGACACACTGCACAGTCACTGCCTGCTCTCTCTTTTCCTTTTATTAAGGCTATGTAAAGTATTCAGTGTGCGTGTTATTTGTTAGAATAATAGAGTAGCAGAATATAGTCATGCAATATTTAAGATGTTTTATTTAATTTAGAGTATTCTCTTAATTTTTTTTGTTTTTGTTTTGTTTGTTATGAGACAAGGTCTCATTCTGTGTTACCACTTGGCCTGGAATTCACTGTATAGTGTAGATGGCCTTGAAATTTGCAGCTGTCTTCTTGCCGCTCCTGAATGCTGGGCTACCGGTGTGAGCTCCATCAACTTAGAATGTTCTTTTAAATGCTTGAAACCTAGCCTGTCTTTCTTATTGTATTCAACCCATGAAAGAAGCAAAACAATCACTTTTTTAGGAATGGGCAGCCTAGTATGGTTCAGGGTCACATAGCTGTTATATAATTCAGTTTTATGGGTGGCCATCATTATGTTCAAGTTTCAACCATACTTATTCCCCCACATTGTCAAATGGGAGGATCTTAAAATACTAATTGACTTTTGTTCAGCTATCTATCCTATACTTGAGAATTAAGAATGTTTTTATATGCATCCTATATTTTAGAATTATGAATGTTTTCATTGACTTTGTATTAGGGTAGGAGCTTGGCTTTGTTTGCCCTGAGGTAGAAAGGAAAAGGAGAAGCTGTAATTCCTCACATGCTTGCAAACCTTAGCAAATTGCCCTTCCCTGATAGACAGTACATGTTCATTCAACCATTGCTTTCTTTCAGTATGTAAACAATGGATTTCTATAATTGATTTAAAAAGTATTTAAATAATTAGATACAAGAAAGCAAGGATCTTAAAGTTTTTGTTTTGTTTTTATTTTACTTTTTTATTATTATTTTTTAATGAGACTCACATACAGGCCTTGAATCCAGTATAGTGTAAGAGTAGGTAGTCTGTGTAGGTATTCAAAGTGCAGTGAGTATATAAAAAGGAAGAAGGCAGCAAGGATGTAGACAGAAGCATGAGAAAACAGTATTGAGTGTTGTTACTAGTAACTTCCTTTCTTAAGCATACTGCTTTTTTCAGTTTGCCTTCTTCTTTATCCTGCCCTTGATATGATCCTGGCTGTCTGGGAGCGTGAGCAGGATAGCCTGTTTGGAAAAGCATTTTGGCTTTTTATTTCTTGACTGAGTTCCTCCTATGAAGGACATTGAGACTAGGGGTAGACACCATGATCATGCTCTTGGTGCTTTAGTCCAAACCAGCGATTTTAAGAGAGTCTTGGTATTTGCAGAAAGTCTTCTGAAGCATCCAGCCATTGGCTGGCTCCGGCTTTCAGCACTAGCCCTTTACTACTCTCTGTAGTCCTCAGAGGAGGAAGGACGACGGGAGGTGAGGGCCGAGACACTAGGATCCCAACGCTCTGACGCCCACCTTTGTTTTCACTGAGAACTTTCTTGGGAGGCGTTTCTGGAAGAGTTGCTCCCTTGAGAAGTACTAGCTTATGTACATTATTTGTTGTTGCTCCTGGGGAGGGCAGTTTTGTAGTTCTTAGCATTTATTTGGTTCATCTGTCGGTAAAGGATGAGGTGTCTGCAGATATGCAGAACAGCTCATGGTGGAGTTGGAACTAGTAAGTTGACTGGTTTATGACAGAATAAGTGAGAGCCATTCAAAATAAAGTTCTGAAGCCTCGTGGTGTGGTGACACTGAAGTCAAGAGGTTGAAACTCCAAGAAAACTTGTAGCTGGAGTTTTCCTGGTCCTGCCTGGCCCACGGTCAGGACAAATCTCTCTCGTCCGCCAGTCCCACAGCCGCTCAGACCCGACCAAGTAAACACAGAGACTTATATTGCTTACAAACTGTATGGCCACAGCAGGCTTCTTGTTATCTAGTTCTTCTATCTTAAGTTAACCATTTCTATAAATCTATACCTTGCCACATGGCTCATGGCTTACCAGTATCTTACATGTTGGTACTCATGGCAGGGTCTTCTGACTCAGCCTTCCTGTTCCCAGAATTCTCTTCTCTGCTTGTCCCGCCTAAACTTCCTGCCTGGCTACTGGCCAATCAGCATTTTATTTATACAGAGCGATATCCACAGCAAAAACTTTTAAAAGCGCTTTTGTTAAGATTGGATAAAAAGTAAAGCTGTGAATGTTGAGAATATGCAGGTCCCACAAAGCCAAAATACTTTCTGCATGCGTTTTAGTTTGGATTTTTCATAAAGGGTCTTGTTAGGTGATCTAGGCTTTCCTAGAACTGGCAGTGCTGTGTCTCCTGAGTATTGGGATTCTAGGCATGTGTCACCAGGTACAGCAACTCAGTGCACTCTGAACAGCAAATAAATAGCTTTAGTTCCAACATCTGAATATGCAATAGGGTGTTCATAAAGAAAAAGGAAAAGGGACTGGGGAATGGCTCATTGGAAGACTTGAGTTAGAGCCCCAGACCGATAAAGTAGCTGGTCACAGTTGATGGGGTTTGTAATTGTAGGGCAGATGACCTAACCTCCAAGCTCCAGAACTGTGAGAGACCCTGCCTCAAAAACTAAGGTGGATGATTCATCCTAGGTTGACCTCTGGCCTACACTTACACATACCCTAAAAAAGGGGTGGGGAGTGGGAGTAAAGTAGACATTCGTAAATCATCTTCATATAAGTTTCTTAGGACAACCTAGGTTTTAAAGTGGCTGCGTCCAGCCCAGTTTCTTAGAATATTAAAGACAAAAGACTTGTAGGGTATAATATATTGCTTAAAATGAATTAAACATAGCACTTGAGGCAATTTACAACACTTCCTTTTTTCAACAATTTTTAGATTATAACAGGAAAAGACCTTTGACAGAACTCAAGAAGATGTAAATGTTTTCTGCTAAATGACCCCTTTTGAGGATTAAATTATATAGTTCGTCCAAGCTGTAAATAGATTATGATAGAAGTTGGCCAACATTTTGGAGATAATTCCCTCTCCTGCCTTTTTCTGTTATGGTAAAACTGTATAGGGCCTAGAGAAATGGGTTAGCGGTTCAGTGCCCTTGCAGAGGATTTGAGTTTGATTCCCAGCACCCACATCAGGTGGCTTAAAACCATCTGTAACTCTAGCCTCAGGAGATCCCCAAGGGCCTTCTGGTCTCTGTGGGTCCCAGCACCTACACACATACACACACACACACACACACCACAAATCTTGAAAAGAAAAAAAGTATGTGTAGTTGTGAAACAATACTTAAGGATTATTCTTACGGTTTCAGTGATTTACTCTGTCAAACTGCTCTAAATGTAGTGAGATCTCTTAACTGGAATTTGCATTTGCTTCCTTAGCCATACCCTGCAAATGAGAACTCTAAACTTGTCTCTGAAAAGGTTGGTGACTATGCACATGCAGCAGAGTACATGAAGAACAGTCAAGTAAGGTTACCTCTGGTAAGTTTCCAGCTTTTAAAGTCAGAAAAAGGAGCATGTGTGTATGGAGGTTATTTCAGTTGTTTACAATATTTGGGCTTACATAAGGATTACAAATTTGGCAAATAATAATCTGTTTCGCCTAAATTGTGATAACTTTTGATGCTGTGGAACATAAAATATATTTCAGTGAGTAGCATAGAGAGCTTTTATGAGGCAGCTAAGGGTGGGGAAAAATCATAGGCTTGGTTTGCAAGATTCCTTTCTAATTCAGCGTTCCAGAGATAGAATTCCAAGCACTGTGAACTTAGAGGATGGGAGAATAGTATGTTTTTATTCATATTGACTTTATGCAGGCTCTCACTTTTTTTTTTTTTTTTTTCCTTTTTTCTTTTTCTGAGACAGGATTTCTCTGTGTAACAGCCCTATCTATCCTGGAACTAGCTCTGTAGACCAGGCTGGCCTTGAACTCACAGAGATCCACCTGGCTCTGCCTCCTGAGTGCTGGGATTAAAGGCGTGCGCCACCACTGTCTGGCTTTTTCTTTTTCTTTTTTTTAAAGCAGGTTCTCACTTTTAAAAAATTCAGTATGTGATGGTAAGACAAGCCCTAACAGTCCCAGTGAAAATTGCAGACGTTTTCATAGCACATTTCTCTTAATATCTTAGAATATTCTTCCCTCGTAATTTCTTCAAACTTCCTGGGTCCTAGAGCTGACACTAGATCTTAGGGAGGCAGTGGCCTGTACGAAGCTGCACATGTCTTACTTACTGTCTTGAAATTTTCTCTCTTTTCTTGGCAAATGCCGTTTATTTTATGATGTGTACTTTATGGTTCTTTTGGTAAAACGCAGTGTTGTTTTTCATTTTTAAGTTGTAGATTTAAGTTAGATGTTTGTTTCAGTTATTATGACCCCTCTAACAACAACTCAGCATTGAGATTAACTTCCTATAAAGAAATTTGTATTTTCTTGCTGAAACATTTGCTACTTCCCAATATTGTGGACAATGAATATAATATAATATAATATACTATATTATATTATATTATATTATATTATATTATATTATATATAAACTGAGACTATGTCTTTAATATTTTTCAGAAAGTTAATCTTACTGATTGTTTTTAGATGTGTATGTCATAGTGTTATGTGCATTGTGTTTTTATAATGAAGTTATAGGATTTTGCCACCTATCCTCTATTAAACAATAAGCTTATGTTTACTTCTGCATTGAATCTAAAGCTTCCTTTCTTTTATAATTTTAGGGAACCTTAAGTAAGTCAGAATGGGAAGCTACAAGTGAGTATATCATCCAGCTAACTGACAATTTCAGTGATTCTGTTTAAAGGGAATCATTGAGACTTGAAAATGTTAGAGTTTTTCTGATATGTTTTGTGCTTATGCTGATACATTGAAACACATATCTCCCACATATTTTTATATATATGTAAAATCTTCACTTGGCACATCTGCGCAGTGACAAAAGTAAGTATCTGTAGGCTGTTATTCAACATACATTCATGAGCATACATAAATATTTTCATTCTGTGTTTGTTAATAAGCAGCTGCCTCTGTCTTCACCTCAGGATCCTGTTGAATTCCTTGGCTATAGGATACTCCCATGGATATTACTTTATTTGGCCATTCAAATGCTGACAGTAAAGAGAGACTGTAGAACACTAAGCAAGGCAGAGTGAGCAGGGGAAACAGATGGTATACAGACACATCCTGACACGAGACTGGTGTCTTCAGAGGCTAATCCACACTCATGGCAGATATCGTACAGAGTCCTGGGCTTCTGCGCAGAGTGATGTGGAGGACTTGCGTTTGTTTGCAGATCCTTAATGTTAAGATAGAAGGATCCTAATCTTTTACATAGATGTCTTGGGAACTTGAGCACAGTTCATGCTGTCCATTTAGATGTTTGTTGATTATGTTGAAGGCAAAAGTAGTAATCAGAGACACTATTTAATAACATTGAATGTTGACTTACAGAATTATATGAAAGGACTTCAGGGGATTAAAATGCAAACAAGTCTACCTTCTAGAGTTTAATGGAAGAAACAAACACAAATAAATATGGCCAGACAATTTAAATGCTGAAGAGGGGAAGGTAGATGGAGAGTTTAAACGTAGATTATCAAACCAGCAAAATCTGAGAATACTAATACTGGTTACTATTGAGTGTTCAGTAGTATGTAATGCTGCTCTAAGCATGTCATCTGTTGTAATTCACGTAATCCCCACAAACATAAGGAGTTGACTATTATGGTGTCACAGGAGATGCAGTTTAAGGCTTAGTTAAGTTAACTTAGTTAAGAACTAATTTGCTTGACTGAGTTCCCATTCTCTTAATCATAGCCTCATAGAAGTCCTTACTGTGAGCAAGACTTTCAGAAATTGAGTTTCAGATTGTGTATCTGAAATCCGATTCTAGCATTCTTAGTGGTGTTAAATGGCTAAGAAGATTTTTGTTTTGAAGTATACTTAGGTGATTCTATATCTACTCCAAAACCACTCAAATAATAGACCTCAGAGAATGAATGATGTTTTTCTTTCTCAGTGCTGCTTGAGAACATTTTCCCTGATGAGATGAGTAACTAAATTCTGACTTCTCTTATTTCTTCTTTAGGTATCTACTTGGTTTTTGCCTTTGAGAAACAGCAGTAAGCAGTTAGTTGCCTCAGAGCAGCACTCCATCCCTCCAGATGGAGCAAACCATCTCAGATACATGTGACAGCTGTTTGTTTATTTGAATAGTAAGTTCTAAGTGTGGAGGATGCTGCCAAAAAGTCCAGTGTATAACTGACATTTACTGTCTGTGACAGGTTAGCAGTGTGTGTGTGTGTGTGTGTGTGTGTATAAGAACGCTTCATCTTTAAGATCGTATTTTTAAGTGATATTCTAAGAATTGTTTCCCTCTCCTGTCGAAAACGAAAGCAGCACTTCAGAGCAGCTGACCTCTCCACAGTGCTGTGATTTGCTGAGTGTGTTTACAGAGTTGAATTTACTTACAACAGCTGTAGAACTGGTGGAGGAGTGCCAGTTCGCCACCGTGCACTCGAAGTTTTGTTACAGTGTTTTTCCAGATGTGTTCTGTACATTTGAATGTAAGTGGTCACTATATATTGCTAAAGTTATAAGATTAAAATTTGATTTTTAGATTGTCATAAGAGCAACCTGGCTAGATTTTGACTGTGTTTCAATAAAATAACTATTTGCTAATACCATGAAATTCTGAGAATCTATAGAAAATTTTAGATGGCAACATAGAGAAATTGTGGAATGGTTTGGTATTCTGTTAAGAATTTCCTACCATAGCAATTAATATATCCAACTATTGAGATTTAATTAAGGTACTTTGAACTTTTCTTCATTGGACAGTGATTTCATGGTTCGATTTTCTAAAGATTTTGTGAAAATGCCATGTCATAATCCTGTTCCATATTTTCTTCCCATGTATATAGGCAAGCGCAACAGGAGTAGCGCAGTAAGGGAAACAGGTAGACTTGAGATGGATCCTCACCACTAAGAGATCCCAGTTACTAATGCCGTTTCCTTCCCAGTCCCAAACAAGCAGCCCGTGCTCTTTTCTTCCAGTGTTGGTACTTGACACAGCAGAACCCACTGTCTAATTGTCATTAAAACATGCATTTGTGTATAGAGGTCAGCATGGCTGCCTTCCAAATATTTATTTACTCTCTCACAATCATTAAAATTGTCATTAAGTTGTGAATTACAGAATTGACTTCTAGAACTGATGCCTGTGTGAACTGCTGTCTTACATTTAAGAAACTTGACAGCCTTTAGATGCATCAAATAACTTGAGAGCAAATACAATTATATATTCTTTTAAAAGTCATTTGTTTAAAGGACAATTTACAAAGATCCTGCTTTCTGTAAAACTCTATAGTACTTGCTTTAAAAGTAGGCTCGGGGCTGGAGAGATGGCTCAGCAGTTAAGAGTGCTGGCTGTTCTTCCAGAGGACCCAGGTTCAGTTGCCAGCACCCACGTGGTGGCTTATAACTGTCTCTGACTCCAGTTTCTGGGGATCTGACACCATCTTCTGGTCTCCGTGGGCACCAGGCATGCACATAGTGCACATATACACACACACACACACACACACACACACACACACACACACACACACACACACACGCAGGCAGAACACTCAGGCATACAAAATAAAAATAATTATTAAAAAAATTGAAAGCATAATCAGTTTATGTATTGTTACTGCTCATAGTATTAGAAGTAGCTTTGGTGCAGGGTTTGGGGTGTGGGGATGAAAGTTCTTGCTCTTAGAAATTTAGGCTCATTTTATTCCTGGGGAAGGTACTAAGTATTTTATGGTTTGGCAGGTAGGGAAAGCTTTGTCACAATTCATGATCTCATTTAATAGGTAATGCATCAATTTTTAGTCTTTCTGTCCTTTCCATTCCATTCCATGGGTTGTTTTTTGGAGAGAAGAATTCCTCAAAGGGTGGAGTAATTGATGGCTGTCCAATCACAAGAAGAGAAATGTGGAGTTCCTAGGCCCTTTGCTGAGGAGTCATAAGGAACTGAACTGGGTCTGAGATGGGCTGTAGTTATTACACCTACTGTCATAGGCATAGGAGAGTGTTCCCATGAGGCCACCCTACAGCAAACAGGTCAAGCAGCTGCCTTTTTCCTTTTGTGTTCTTATCTGTTCAGCCTCCTCCCCTACACTGCTTGAAGTTAAATGACTCAAGATGAATTCTTGAGGATGAGAATGGGAAGGTGGCCTTTTCCACTGTTTATCAACAGATGAGACTTTTTCCAGCATACTGGAGTTTACATGTTTAATTTTGTCAGGACGTGTAGTATCTGATGAGAAAGGCGTGGCTTTTCATTACAGGATCCGGGAAGAGTCCCTTGTTTTGGGTTCAGTGATAAGAATGGTTCAGAAGCCAGGCGGTGGTGGCGCACGCCTTTAATCCCAGCACTCGGGAGGCAGAGCCAGGCGGATCTCTGTGAGTTCGAGGCCAGCCTGGGCTACCAAGTGAGTTCCAGGAAAAGGCGCAAAGCTACACAGAAAAACCCTGTCTCGAAAAACCAAAAAAAAAAAAGAATGGTTCAGAGGAGCTGTTCAGACACTCCCAGGCCTGCCACACAGGGTATCCTCCAAGGTTGAGTTTCAAAATGAAGATCAGGGGCTGGAAACATGGCTCAGAGGCTAAGAATGCTTGCTACTCTTTCAGAGGACTGGAGTTTGGTTCCCACACACACATCAGGTGGCTCACAACTGCTTGTAATCCAGCTGCAGGGACTTTAACACTCTCTTCTGGTTCTGCTGACACCTGCACACATGCACAAACATGCAGACACATAAATAAAAATAAATCTGCAGAAATGAAGACCACATGGGCCATTTGTGAGAATGGCACAACTTGAATTGGAGATAGTTGGCCCGGGGACAAATCTGCATTGTAGTAGGACCTAAAAAACTGACATGGGATTATTTGGGTCTAGAATTTACTCAGGGAAACACTCCAGTGTATACAGTGTTGATGGAGAGAAAGTGAGGAGTTGTCGGTCCCTGGCAGTCCTTCTGGGGGCCTAACGTACAGAGAGCCGCAGGCCTGCTGGAGCTGACTCATACTTTACAGACTGACTCTCCTCAGTACGAGAAGGCTGTGACTGAGCAGAGTCCCTTAAGAGTGATGGGCCTGTGTGGTGACTGAATGGCTGAGAGAGGATACAGATTTTCTCAAGACCACAGCAACATAACACTCCCATCCTGTGGTGGGCCTACACTCCTGCACTCACATACTTCCAAGAGTGGAACAAGTGAGTCCTGTGGCCTGAGCTGTTAGTTCTTGAAGCACCTTAACTTAGGTGCTCCAGTAAATAGGGTGTCCTGGTAGGAAACAGAGATAGACTATCCTCTTCATGGTGTGGAGACCTGGTCCTTGAACCAGACTTGTGGGATCTGGTTATACACTACAGGTGATGGTGTTCCCCCAACCTTACTGTGTGGATGTATCAGTGCAAGAGAGTCTCTGAGGGAAGATACAGAAATACTGCTTTAGTGTGAGTTAAGTAGGCAGGCCTAATCTTATGGATTTGCTGGTTTAAACTCTGTTGAAGTGTTGTATCTGTACAGGCAATTGGATTCCTCACAGACAGAACATACATGAATTCATAAGCCAGAAGCTGGAGACTCCCTTCTACTCAACTCTCCCTTCCACAGCCACCATCCGGTTCTAAGCAAAAATCTAGTTTCATCTGGCTTGGAATATTACATGAATGAAATTAAAAATACATTCTTTGGCTTTCATTTGTCAGTGTTCATGAGATTCTTATTCTCATCAGTTGTACATTGTTCTCATGATTGTACGGTATTCCATTGTGTGAATAAACAACATTATCCAATGATATTTTGGTTCATTTCTAGCTTGGGAACTGTACTACCACAGTTATTTAGCAAATGAGTTTTTGTGCACATAGCTATATATTTCCTACTAGGAATAAGATTGCAGGACCATAGTACATGCACCATATTCATATTTATTGACAGCTACCCAGAAGCTTTCCAGAGTTTCCTACATTCTTGATAATACCAGCTATAATTTGAATGAGAATGGAGGCTCAAATATAGATTTGAATACTTGGACTATAGTTAGTGGAACTGTTTGGAAAGAGTTAAAGGTGTGGTCTTGGAGGAGGTGTGTCACTAAGGAAAAGACCCAAATTAATAGAGGTAATGAGGTGTTACAAGAGACACCGGTAAAGTCCAGAGGGTTGTAAGGACACACTTCAAAACCCAGAGTCTACTAAGTTGGAAAAGCTAAAAGAAATGAATGAATTTCTTAATGCATCTGACCTACCAAAGTTAAACCAAGAAGAGATTTAGAAAAATGACATTGAAACGTCATTTTAAAACCTCCCATCCAAAACAAGCAAGCAAAGAAGCCCAAGCCCAGATGGATTTCCTACAGGACTTCACTGGATATTCAAAGAACTCACACCGATGTTCGTCAAACTAGTCCATAAGAGAGAACAGGAATGATACCTCCAAATTCTTTTTATGAATCCAAAATGACACAGATGCCTAAACTAGATAAGCACACATATAGAAGAAGAAAATTCTAGAACAAGCTAACTCCTCCATGAACATAGACGCAAAAATTCTCAATAGAAGACGTGTGAACCAAATTTTAGAACATATCCAAAAGATCGGCTACTGTGATAAATGAGCTTCATCCCAGAGTTTACTGTGAGCAAGCCACCCCAATTAGATGTTTCCTTTATAAGAGTTGCTATGGTCATGGTGTCTTTTCACAGCAATAGAAAACTCAACTAGGACAGATCTCAGCGTAAGACTTGATAACTTGAATCTGTTAGAGGAGAAAGGAGGGAATATGGGCATGTACATAGGACTATAGCAGGAATTAAGACTTAAAAATTGACTAATGAGACCTTAGGAGACTGAAAGACTTCTGTACAGTAAGGAACCCTATCAACTGAGTGAAGAGGCAGCTTACAGAATGGGGAAAAATAACCAAGCTCCATTTTGACAGAGGGGCAGTATCTATACAGTGAACTCAAAAAACAACACTAAGAAAACTCTTCTCAGAAGAAATATGAGCAGTTAAGAATTTCTTAAAATAATCATCCTTAGCTGTCACAAAAGTGAAAATTAAGACTACCTTGAGATTTTATCTTACCCCAGCCAGAATTGACTAATATTAAAATCAAATCCACAGATGACACCAAGTGCTGGTGTGGATATGAGGTAAGGGGAATACTTACTCACTGTTGGGAGTGAAAACTGCTTCTGTCACTGTGGAAATCAGTATGGGTGTCTCCCCAACACTAAAAGTAGATCTATTATGTGACCCAATAGTACTCCTCCTGGGTATATACCTGACTATATATAGAGATGTTTACTCATCACTGTTTGGTGCTGTTCTATTTACAATAGCCAGGAAATAAGCATATCCCAGATGTCCATCAACTAGTGCATGGATAATGAAAATGTGATATATATGCACAATGGAATTTTATTCAGCTTTAGTGAAAAATGATAAAATTTGCAGGTAAATGGATGGAGCTGGAAACAATCATTCTGAGTGAGGTAATTCAGATCCAGAAAGACAAATACTGCATGTACTTTTACATATGTAGATCTAGTTTCTTTAGATATGTGTGCTTAAATTGGAGTAGCTGTGCAAGTCAGGAAGCTAGAGTATGGGATTTCAAGAGAAAGAGACGGTAGAACACAGGTAACAAAGAAGGAAAGGAATAATGAGGCAGAAAATGTTAAGTGGGGTGAGGGGTGGGAGGGCAGGATCGAGGAGGGAGTACAACCAGGAATACCTAACTGTAAAGTCCTTTGAGAAAAGCCACACAGGAACCAACTATTGTATAAACTTCTTAAAATATATACACACACATGTATAAAAGTTTAGATGGGGTTACCATATATAGGGGGGTAATGTTCCCATATGCCATAGGCTGTCACACAAAAAGCCAGTGACAGGTTTGTGCTGCCTTTTTTCTACTTGTTGGTCTACGCCCTTCCTCCCCCCCCCCCAAAAAAAAAAACTTTAAAAGTCATTGCCATGCCAGTTGTCTGTAGAACTTGATGGTAAGACCATATTTCTACCATGTGGAAGACATCACATACTCAAGTAATAGAACATGGAGAAAGCAAGCCAGTATCCACTTGGAAGCTTCATCTGCATTGGCTAGCTTTCATAGGGTAGTGGGTGCAGCACACCACTACTGGAGGAGAAAAGGAATCAACATTCTTACCCAACTGAGAGACCTGCAAACTATGATAACAACCAGCTTGGCAAGATAGGTCCATTGGTACCATAGTGGCATAGATGTTAGAAGGGTAAGCAACCACTTTCCGATTGCATCTAAAGCCTGCTCCACAAGACAGAACTCATGCCCGGTAATGTTAACTGTCAAGACCCCATAGCTGAGTAGATGATGGGCCTACTATGACTGACTGCTAATCTAAATGGATAAGTTTCAAACTGTCCTCTAAACACTTATCACTATAAACACAGGGATGGGTCACTATATAAATCAATGTGTAATATATAAATGGACTCAAAGACAAATCATGTGATTATCTTAATGATGCAGAAAAGACTTTTGACAAAAAACCAACATCTTCGTAGTAAAATGTCTGAAGATACTAAGAATATGAGGAAACTACCTCAACATAAAAGCTATGTACAACAAACTTATAGTCAGCATTATATTAAGCAGAAACCTTATGGAATTTCCACTAAAACCAAGAAGAGTAACTGCTTTTCTCCACACTTATTTCATATACTTGAGACCAGTGAGACCAGTAAGATAAACACATAAAAAGATACAGATAAAAAAAGGGAGAAATAAAATTATCTTGTTTGCAAATGATGCACTTTTATATGTAAGAGACCCTAAAGAATTTGGATCAGAAAAAAAACACAGCAAAGTGGCAGGATGCAAAATTAACACATCACAACCAGCAGCCTTCCTGTATGTCAGTAACAAACATACCATAAAGAAACCTGGGAAACTCCCATTCGCAACAGACAAAACAAAAACCAAAAAAGAAAAGAAAAAAAAAAACCTTGAAATATACCTAAACAAGGAAGTAAAAGACCTGTGTAACGAAACATTTAAAACTGAAGAAAAAGCTGAAGATGCTAGAAGATGGAAGGACCTCACATACTCACAGATCATTTTGTGAAAACAGCTATAATATCAAAGTCAATGTACAGATTCATTGCAATTTTCATAAAATTTTCAATAATGTGCTTCATGGAAATTAAGAAAAAATTCATATGGAAGTACAGAGATCCTAGATAGCCAAAGCAATCTTGAGCAAAAAAGAACAATTCTGGAAGTATCACCATGCCTGGTTTCAAGTTATAATAGGGTTAAACTCAGCAGCATCTTGAAGGAACCAGTCCTGGTGGCTGTGAAATGCTCCTCACAGAGGCATGCCAAAGCGTATTGCTCCTCAGCAGGGCTGCCAGCTGTCAGATCCCATCAGTGCTTCCCAGAGTTGGAAACTGGGTTTTGCTGTATAACCTCAGTTTGGCCCGCCTACCCTCTCTCCTTCCCTCCCTCCCTCCCCCCTCTCTCTCTGTCTCTGTCTCTGTCTCTCTGTCTCTGTCTCTGTCTCTCTCTCTCTCTCTCTCTCTCTCTCTCTCTCTGTGTGTGTGTGTGTGTGTGTGTGTGTGTGTGTGTGTGTGTGTGTCTGTCTGTCTGTCTGTCTGTCTGTCTGTAGCCAAGTCTCACCAGAGCTTTCAGGCTCTGACTTTTCCAAAGAATGACTAGCAGGCACACTGGTGAGCCACTTTGTCCCAGAAAGACAAAGAACAGGGCGGATCAGGTCATTTGAGCCGGGCAGTATTTAATCAGTGAGTTAGAGGAAGAGAGGGGGAAAGGTAAAGAGAATCATTAGCTGGAAAATCCATCTGTGTGCACCTAAGGGAAAAGATTTGTCACACTGGAAGCACCACAGAGCTAAGAGTTATGGTGGACCACTAGGTGGCGTTGCAAACACGACTGCTAGACTGCTTGCCCGTGGCAGCAAGTAGCTGGAGACCTGAACTCAGTAGGTCAGAGAGGCGGCGATCTGGGCGGGAGGAGGCTGTTTAAAAGCACAATGGTGAGGTGCTAGGTCAGGTTGGGAGGCGACTGCGCGCTGGTGATGGCCCTGCTCTCTTGCTGAGGTCCGCACTGGTGGACATCAGGTGCTCTCGCAGAGTGAGGCGTCCAGTGAGGTCGCCTGGCCCGGATGCGAGACCAAAGCCGGGGAAACAGACACAACTCTATTTCCCAGAAACCGCCTGGAAACAGTGAGGAATCATGCCTACCTTTGCATGGAGGAGAGCAGAATGGGTGAGCCAGCTTGTGCAGGGAGATTTTAAACAGCTGGGTATAATGTTTAAAGCAACAGTGGAATGGGTCCATACCTTTGAGGTGTAAATGTTTTGCAAATGATTACAATCCAATAGCTTTACCACATTGCTAATACAACGGCTCTCTGAGTGTGTCTTGTTCTAACATTTCATAGGCATTTCTTCATACTGTGCTCATGTGGGACATATAAATTAGCAGTCAGACTCAATGAAATTCATTTTTTTTAGAATTTAAGGAAAATATTTGAGGGGAAAGTACTGTTGTTTTTCTCTATTTAACACACTGTAAAGTAAGCTTATGTATTGGAGGCAGTAACTCTGCGTTTCTCCTTAAGCTTAACGAGCACTTTGCTGCAGTCTGTTACAACCCTGGAGAGTATACAGTGAGGATTTGTGGAGAGCTCTGCTTAGTGAGAAGACAGATCCACCTGCCTTTCTCCAGGGAATGTTGGTCTGTGTGGTCTTCAGAAATCTGGGCTCCCTTAAGCAAAATATGATGCG